GGGTTGGGCCTGGTAATCTACATTTTGAACCTCACCACTGTGACTCCAACACAGGCTGTCCTTCAGCTGATCCGTGGAAAACACTGCCCAGACTAGAAACCACCATGCTGCTCATCAAGCCACTCCTGGATACTACTGTCCTGTCCTCACTGATCCACAGATTCACCTAGAGTGGGGGCAACATCTTTATAAAAGCTGAACCTAGCGATGTTTATCAAGAGAGGCCAGCACTCCCGGAAAGGGAGGGAGGGAAGAAAAAGGAGGAGGTTAGGAAAGGAACAGAAAGAGGAAGGAGAGAGGAGCTAGCAGGTGGCATGGTAATTAAGGTGATGGATTCCCACTTGGCCGAGCATGGTTTGAGTTCCAGAGCTGGTGGCTTGAAAAATCATGCCATGTATATGCACACGCATGCCCAAAATCCTGAGAGAAGGGTGGAGGAGAGGGGATTGTGGAATAGTCATCCCCCTTGAGGGATATTTCTCACTTTCTCTCTCTGTCTCTCTCTCTGCTGAGTGTACGTGCACTATGGGGGTGGGGGGGAAATGGGAATAAAAAAGGAAGAAGAAGAAAAGAAAAAGATGAGAGAGAGATAGAGAAGGCTGAGAAAGAACACGCAGAATTCAGAAAGAACACAACAGAGTGAATATCTCCAACCCTGAGAAGGGATAAGTGAGCAGAGGAAAGGTGAGGAAGCCAGAAAGCTATACTTGCTCTGGAGTGGGGACTAAATTAAAAAATCCTCCTGGTCTCAGCCCCAGGAGACACTATCAGTTAGTAATTAAGCAAACAAAGAGTCTTATCTATGCTTGAGACCTAGTTTGGTCATTGTCTAGGTGGATGTTTTAATATAAATTATTTAACTCCTCTAAGACTCAATCTCCTCATATTTAAATGTGGATTTATGGGAATCTCATGAAATATTGTATTTTAAAGTAGTTTATAAATCTAAACACTCATATGTATATTATTAAATTATATATTAAAGAACTATATTAAATAGGTAAGTTGACCATCTAAGGCTGAATGAGACCAGGGAGCTTATAGCTTCCAAATCCCTCTTTCACAGATGAAGGAACTGAAGCCCAGGGGAAAGTGACTCACAGTGTGTCACATGGTTAGTGGCTAGCTGGAACATGTTGAGCTGGTTGGTCACAAGCTGTCAGTAGGAAGTATCACATCCCAGCTCAATAGAGAACAAACGTAAGTGGGTGAAGGTTGTCATTGCAGCCTTGAAGAGCCCTCCTTCTCAGGGAGAACCCACAGTGGGGGAGACAGGAAGGTCAGCATAAAGGAGAGTGATCATTTGCAAGTGTCCCTCACTGAGAGATACTTAACGCCACTTGAGTATATCCTCAAGCCTGTGACACAACTGCTTTTTGCAGTAAATCTGTTATTTTGAAGACTAAAGGGGAAAAAAAAAAGACTAAAGGGGACAGGCTAGTCAATATGGAGTTCAAAAACACAGATACCTAAAAGCAAAAACTTACCTGACTTTATCCAGGGCTGCCCAAAAAGAAAGACATTATTTGAGAGAAAATCAGTACTCTGATGGTTACAGAAATGAAATCTCTTGGAGAAGGAACAATCTGTTGGCTTTTCCTTTACCTGTTGCATTTTCCCTGTGAGTTCATCTAGTTATTATGTCCCGAGTCAACAATCACCAGGAGATGCTAATTAAGTTATCCCTCCCCACCTTGATCCCAAGGCATGAAGAAGAGGAAAGCGTGGATAGGAGTGTGTGTGTGTGTGTGTGTGTGTGTGTGTGTGTCTGTGTGTGTGTGTGGGGGGGGCATTCTCCTAAGCAGATCTAAGTATTTCAGTCACTGGAAAGACATATCCTTTAATGTTAATTAACTGGCCTCTGGTTTCTATATTAGAATCAGTCAATCCTTCAAAACCTAAATAAACTGATACAAACTAAGGTCCCAGATCTGTAAAACTGAGGTGTTGGTCCTGTTCAGGATTTCCTACCTCCTATGAACCTCACAATTTTCCCATGCCACTTTCTGCCATCTCAACTACAATGATGTTCTAAGCCTGCCCAGATCACATATTTGCATTTAAAAGGAACATCCCAGAAACTTTAACCCACTCTACTGCAATTCAGCATATATATAATATTATATACATATATTATATATATTATATATATATATAATATATATATATTAACCACTGCATCAGCCAGACACTGCTGAAAGTTGATAATTACAAAGAAAAATGAGGTATGTCATCTGCATCTGCTCTTAAGGGATTCAAAAGCAGTATCTTGCCATTCAAATATGGTCCACAGACTACTAGTGTCAGTATCACCTAAGAGCTTGATAGAAACATAGAGTCTCAGGCCCCATCCCAGACATACAGGATCTAGATCTGTGTTTTACCCATAGCCCCAGCTGTTTGTATGTATATGATGCTGGAAAAACACTGACCTCATAGAAAAGACTTACCTAAAGCCACTTTGAATTAAATTTTATGATGGTGTTATAAACAGAGTATAATGGGAACATAGAGGAGGGTATGGTTAATTCTAATGGGAGTGGGAGACCAGGGAAATTCTTATAAAGCAGTAGACATTTGCACTGAATTTTAAGTAGACCAGGCTGACTACATAGAAGTGGGGAGCAGGTGAAGGCTTTCTGGTGGAGGTGAGATGTAGACCTCCTGGAGAGGCGAACAGGAGATGCAAATAGAACTAAGGCCTATCCAGTGTTCCTGAATATCGCTGTAGGATAGATGGCACCACCAGGCTCAAACTCCAGTGGAATGATGAATCACCAGACCTTCACGTAAGGAGCTGACTGGTACATGGACAGGGAGAGGCCTCGCCCAGCTCCTCGCCCTCGGTGACCCTCAGGGATGAGGGGCTGATGTTTGCAGTCAGCAAAGGATGCCGAGTCTCAGATCTTGTGCCAGGCCACCTGGTCCCTGGCAGCAACTCTGCAGAGTGACCTTACCAGGAAATGGATACACTGGTTCACTTGGGCTCCCAGCAGCTCAGCCTTTGGAATGACTTCCCCCTCAATCATATTGAAAGGGAAGCTGACTCTGGAGAAAGTAGAGAAGAGATAAAAAATCATGGAAAGGGATTAGGACAGGAGACTCATCCTCTAGCTGTGTGACCAGAAGGAAATTTCTAGATCTTAACTGTAAAATGAGAGACAACCCAGGTGATTTTTCTAATCCTTTCCAGCTCTAGCTCATGGGACTTCAAAAAGTTCATGGAAAGGTAGAATAAAAGTACAAATTTATTTTGGTGCAAAAATATTTTGAAAGTCAGACATAGTTTTTCATCTTCTTTTTAAAAAAGAATTATTTATTTAATTCCATCTGTTATTACTATTATTAAATTTATTTTATTTTATTGTAATTTCTTTTATACATTCAATCCCTATACATCACTTAGTTTGTAAAGTGAATTTTCTAACATGAATACATTTCTCACCAGTCCAGTTGGGGATACTATACACATTATCATCAACAAATAATAATCCATCTCTGTGTCCCATAGATGTCTTGACTCTCTCTTTTTCTCCTTAATGTCTTTATCAGACCCTCCTCCTTTTCTCATCCTCTTCCCACACTGTATCCAGTATCGATAACCAGTTTCCATGTTTCTATAGCCTCTAATCTTTCAGTTTCAGCCATAGAGTGCAGACAGTCGGTATACATGATGATTCCCACATAGCCTATGATTCTGGCATGTTCCAGATAATTTCAGACTGATCTATCATGTTTCCAACTTTTAAACTACTTAGATTTTCTTGGAACTACTTACCAGAGGTAAAAATAAAAAAGTTCTTCTTAGTTGTAGTTCACCCTGTGATTGTTTCCTTTGCTATGAAAATTGTATATTTCACAATAACTGAAAGAGAGGATTTGAGGGCTGTCACCCCAAAGTAATGACAATGTATGAGGCGATGGACATGCTAACCACCCTGATTTCACGCTTATACAATGTATACATGTACTGAAATATCACACTGTTCCTCATAAATATGTATAGTTATTATCTGTCAGTGAAAAAAACGATTTTAAAAAGAACAATTAAAGAATTATTCTTGGGAACATGATCTCAACTAAATCACAAGGGCAGCATCTGGATTGGATTGTGCATCAGAGCTACATTTAGAGAAAAAGTATATATTGATCTATCCATCTCTATATAATTTTTTTTTTTGGAGAGGTTTTTGCTATAGGGCGCGTGTGCTTGCCAGACAGACAGAGAGAGACAGAGAGACAGAAAGCAGGAAATCACCCCCCAGGGGGGCGGCCACGCTGCAATCCCTTCTCCTCCATTCTCCTCTAGGGATCTTGGGCATGCACGCACACACGCCCGGTGTGAGTTTAAGCCACCGGGTCCGGGACTCGAACCGCAGTCGACTACGTGGGAGTCCAGCGACATAGCCATTACGCTAACTGCTGGTCCCGCATCTCTATATAAATTAATAATGAAGTAGATGTTAAACATTTACTGTGCATTTTGTTTGACAGTTGAGTGGGGCACCAAAGAAGCAGAAGCTTAGGTTCTGGCCAGAAATGTTCTCCTACATATTTGAAGACATATAACACATATTAGCAGAGAAGACAGTATATAATTTCATAATAGATTGTCCTATTAAGGATAATTGTTAGCATTTCCCAGAACTAAATACTTTACAGGAATTACTTCATTTATGTCACATAAATCTAGGAGATAGTAAATCGTTTATGATGTTTCTGGCTATAAATAAGAGAAAAACCCTAATTTCACTAGCTTAAGCAGTAAACAATTTCTTCTGTCGCTCTATAAGAACTCTCCTTCTTTTGCCTTTTCCTTGGCCTTGCTGCTGCAGATTTAGCCCTAATACCCAGGAAATATTGAGAGAAAGTAAAGGCTCAGACATTGGACCTCCAACAGGCCAATGTTTCAGTCCTAGCTCTGCCACTTAATATCCATATGGCTTCAAGCAAATAACTTATCTCAGCCATAATCTCCTTAGCCACAAAATGAGGATATTTACCACACAAGGTTATAGTAAGAATTGAATAAGATAAATTTAGCATGGCCCTGAATAAATAGAAGTTATTATTCTTAATTAGCTAAAATAATAAAAACAAAAACTAATGTTAGCCAAGCATATCACAGTTTGCAAGTTGTGTACACACACACTGTCTAGTTCGATTCTCACAATAACTGTGTTAGGTAAAGGATATGCCTTCCTAGGGACAGCTGAGGAAACTGAGTCTGAGAGCATTTAAGAGTCTTGGCTCTTTCCGATTGTTCCATTACATTCTTGGGATGCTACTTACTCCCCACTAGCTGATGCTTCTTGTTATGGATCATCTCTATTATGGGTTGATTTGTGTCCCCCCTAAATACACACACACACACACACACACACATATATTTGTGTATATATATTTTTTTGAGAGAGATTTTTGTTTTAGGGTGCGTGCACTCACCAGAGAGAGACAGAGAGACAGAAAGAACATGAGAAATCACTCCCCTACACATTGAAATTCCTTCTACTCCATTCTCTTCTCAGGATTTTGGGCACACATTCACATGTGCCTGGTGTGAGTTTCAAGCCACTAGGTCTAGGACTCAAACAGCAGTCAACCACATGGAAGTCCAGCACTATGCTATCTGCTAGCCCCTAAGCTCATATGTTAAAGCTCCTAGTACCTCAGAGTTCAAGCTTCTTTGAAAAGAGGCCATTACAAATATAATTATCTAAGTTATCCTAGGGGCCAGCAGGATGCAGGAGGTTCATTTTCTTTCTTTTTATTTTTGAGAGTTTTTTGCTGCAGTGTGCGTGTGCTCACCAGAAAGACAGAAACAGAGAGACAGAAAGCAAGAAATCACCCCCCGGAGGGGGGATGGCCACGTCACAATCCCTTCTCCTCCATTTTCCTCTAGGGATCTTGGGCATGCACACACATGCACCCAGTGTGAGTTTAAGCCATGGGGTCCAGGACTTGAACTGCGGTCAACTATATGGGAGTCCAACAACATAGCCATTACTCCAACTGCTAGTTCCGGTTCATTTTATTTTCTACCCTGAGCTCTGAACAGAAAGCAGCTTTCATGCTCTCTCTTGAGCTGGTGGGAGGAATTTGTTTACTCTGCCTTACACTGAAGGGAGTTACACTTCTGAACTTCCAAATCTGGCCTCTGTAGCTCTATTTTCATTCCCTAAGACCATATCTCCTGGCTCCCTATTGGCACAAACCCCCCAGCTATTAGGAATCTATATCTGAAACCAGTCCCATCTTACCTGCCACAAAATCCACTTGTGAGCTTATCATCTAGCTATGAGTCACATTTTATATTTTATCACCTGTAAGTTTTGATTTTCTTCTTTAGATCTTGGTCAAAAACAAACTATTTTTTTAAATTACTGCTCTGCTACATCTTACTTATTTTTCCATTTATTTTTTTCCTTTAAATTTATTTTTTTACATTAATTCACTATACATCATTACAGCATACAAAATGAATTCTCCATCCAAAATACACTGTATATTGGCTCAATTGACATACATGTTATCAACGAATAATTTTCCATTTCTTATGTCTTGTATATTTTGCTTTTTTTTCTCTTTTTTTGCCATCCTTGATTCCCTATCCCTCACCCTCTGCCCTGTCCAACACTCCTCCCACATTGCCTCTGGTGTCCATGGTTGCTTTCTATGCCTTCCCCCCTCCCCATTTAATTGATTTGCTAATGAACTAAATTTGTCTAAATATTTGTAAGAGCAAGCACAGCTGATATATACATATACCTGAACCCAAGTCTGACTTTAGGCATAAACCTCAGTGAATAGAATGGACATACTATAAAGTAGTACCTAGCTGGGGCTATATAGCTTACTGTAGTCATCAAATATGCATTTATTTTTTTTGATAGCAGTTTTAGTGGGGTTTTTCTGTTCGTTTTTTTTTTCTCCTGAAAATTTTTTTAAATTAATTTACATTCATTCCCTGAGCATCATCACAACATACTAAATGTGGTTTCCTATCTAAGATAGACTGCATAGTGGCTTAATCATGCATGTTATCATCAATAATATTCCATTTCTACTTTCATACATATGTATATGTATATATGTGTTTTTTACCACATGTTTGACCCTCTACCCTTTCCCACTCTCTTATTACCCTATCTCTGCTATATACAGTTGTCTTCCATTCCTTTTCCCCCAACATTTTGTTGATCACACAATATCATAAGTAATCTAACCACTTTCAATAGCAAGTTCAGCTGGTCATTTCAAGAAAAGCAGTTTTGAACTAGTAATGATATTTCCTTGAAACTTAAAGCCTAGAAACAGGTTAGTATTCTGTTCAAATAGTAGGTACATGCACCTATCGACAGCTCAAGACAGGACAAAAA